TAAATAAATTCAAGTTAAATAAGAATTAAATTAAATTTAAATTAAAAAAAAAAAGCAGTTTAAACCAGAAACAAATCCGATTTAAATAAGAAATAAATGAAATTTAAATTTTAAAAAAATCCAATTTAAATGGGAAATAAACTCAATTTTTAAAAAGGAATAATTCCAATTTAAATAAGAATTAAATTAAATTTTTACAAATGAGTTTAAAGGTGAAATAATTGAGTTTGGCCGGCCCGGCCCCCCGGGGTTACCTTGGATTTGAACTTGGACTCGAGCGGCGCCGCCGGAATTTCTTTGTCTGGAGCTCGGCCCCGAAAATCCCGGGAAAGGCAAAAAAAAAAACAACGGGGATTGGCGGGATGGGGAAAGGGATAAAAATGGGGGGAAAGGGAAAAGGGATTGAAAGGGAATAAAAGTGGGGAAAAAGGGAATAAAAATGGGGAAAAAGGGGAATATAAGGGAATAAAAATGGGGGAAAACGGGATAAAACTGGGGGGAAAAGGGAATAAAAATGGGGGGGAAAGGGAATAAAAATGGGGAAAAAAGGGAATAAAAATGGGGAAAAAAAGGAATAAAAATGGGGAAAAAAGGGAATAAAAATGGAAAAAAGGGAATAAAAATGGGGGGGAAGGGGATAAAAAGGGAATAAAAAATGGGGGGGAAAGGGGAATATAAGGGAATAAAAATGGGGGGAAAGGGAATCTAAAGAGGATAAGAAGGGGGAAAAGAGGGAGGGAAAGGGGGAAAAGGGAATAAAAGGAAATAAAAAGGAATAAAAAGTCAATTTTGGCCTCAAAAAGCGGTGCCGGAGGGAGAGGAGGAGGAAGGGGATGCGGGATTTGGGAATTGCTGGGAAAGCTCCTTCAGTTTTGATCCCGAATTTCGGTTTTAGGAGGGGATTAAATTGGGGAAAAGGGAATGAAGGCGGGCGTGGAAAAGTGGATTTTATTTCCATTTATAAAGGAATATTTCTGCTTTTATTTATTCTCATTTCTAAAGGAATATTTCTATTTCTATTTATTTATTTCTGTTCAGTCTGAGTTTGTCTGGGTAAAATCCAGGCGTTTATGGAACAACCCTTCCTATTTATTTATAAATATATTTATATATTTGTGTCTTTATTTGCCACCTTTAGGGGCAGGAAAACGCGGCGAAATCCAAGGAAAACTCCCCAGAAATCCTCCAAATTTAGGGATCAACCCCTCCCTGAACCGGAATGGGAATTCAAAAGTAAAAAAATGGAAAAAGACAGGGAAAAAAAAAAGGAATTTGGGGGGATCTGGGGCAAAAGGGCTGCGGGAGGGGGAAAAAGGAAAGGCAGGAATTGAGGGGAAATCGGATTTTTGGTGGGATTTGAGTGAGGTTTTTGGGATGCGGCACAAAAAATGGAATTTATTCTTCTTTTTCCTGCAGTGTCTGAGAGAAAAACGAGCTCGGGCTTGGCCGGAGGAATGAATTCCGCTCGGAGGAGCCGGAGCCGCTTTTTTATCCCTAAAAAAATCAAAATTAGAGCGGAAAACTGGGGGGGGGAAAGGTGAGTTTGGGGATTTTATTTATCCAAATATTTGGGGCAAAGCCTGGGAAAACTCAGCCAGGAATGGGCGGGAAATTCCCTCCGAAATTGGGATTGCAGAGGGAAAATCCGCTCCGATGTGAATTCCCCTCAAAAAAAAAGAGAGAGAATTAAAATCCCGGGTTTGTTTCCCTCCCTCCTTCCCAAAAAAATTAAAATGATGGAAATTCCTCTTTTTTTTCCCATTTCGGGGGGATTTCCCGGCGCTGGAGCCGATTTTCCTTCCCGAAAAATTCCAATTTCAGTGATTTTCCTTGGAAAGGGAGGCGGGCAGAGGCAGAAAGTCCCGGTTTTCCCTCGGGAAAATCGAGGAGGTTTTGGGGTTTTTTCCTTCATTTTAGGGCAAAAACAAAAGAGGGAAACAAAAGGAAAAGGGATCCAGGGAATTACCCGGGAATTATTTCATGGAAATTGAAAATTCCCTTTTTCCTTTGTTCTCTTGCAGCCGTTTTTAATTTTCTTTTTTCCCAAAAAACGCCGCTTTCCCGGGAAATTCCTTCTCGGGATGGGAATTCCGGCCTGGAAAAAATCGCAGCTCCCTGGATTCGCCCGCGGCCGCGATTTTGATGCAAAATTCCTTTTTTTGGGGGGCGGAATTCCCTTTTTTTGGGGGGCAGAATTCCCTTTTTTTGGCCGCTGTCCCTGGAATATTTCCAGGCCAATTCCGCTTTTCCCAACGGGAATTGGTGGAAAACCTCAAATCGCGCCCGCGGCCGCTCCACCTGCGAAAATTGGGCTCAATCCTGAATTTTTGGGGTTTTTAAAAAGGAAAAACCGGGAATAAACGCCTGAAATAAAGGGAAAAAATGGGAAAATTCCTTAAATCCCGGCGGGTGAAGCGCTGCCGGGAAAACATCGGGAGAAGCGGGAACAGAGCTGGAACCGCCAGGGAAAATGGGAATTTTCCTCTTGGACTGGGGGAAAAATCTGATTTTTTAAATCCTTTTTACCGGCAGGGATCAAAAAGGGCACAAGAAATTTAAAAATGTGAATTTCCCCGGGATCAGAAAAAAGGGAAAAGGGAAAGAAGCTGGGATTCGGGAGAGGAAAATTCCCGTTTTTCCCGCTCGCTTGTTATGGAAGGAGAAATATCCGTACAAAATAATAATAATAATAATAATAATAATAATAATAATAATAATAATAATAATAATAATAATAATAGTAAACATTTTTCAGGAGGGATGAGCAAAAAAAAAAAGGGAATTTTCCAGGAATTCCTCAAGTCCCAAAAGCCGCGCCGGGGATTTGGCGGATCCATCCCTTGAATTCCCGGGACCCGCGGCTTGGAGCCCAGGAATTCCCAAAAATCGGGAATTTCCGCGCTGGAGGAGCTCGCGGGGGTTGGGAAGGGCGGGGTTCCCCCCGGGGTTCGCTCCCCTTCCCCATTTTTGGGGTTTCCTTTTCCCTCCCAGCCCCGGAGCCCCGAAAAACCCAAAAAATTCTGGGAAATGCCGATTTTTTTTTTTGGGAATTCTCATTTTTCTTCCCCAAAGGTTCCTTTGTTCGGCTCCCGAGGCTCCCCCGGGAATTCCCGGCCCCAAATGCGATTTTTTTTTCCTCTCTACCTCCATAGAATGAGATTTTTTTCCCTCCTTTTCCCCTTTTCCTCTCCTTTCCCCCCATTTTCCTTCGCTTTCCTCCCTTTTCCTCTTCTTTTTTGTCCATTTTTCCCTCATTTTCCCCCGGATTTTTCCCTTTTCCCCCTCATTTTTTCCCTCATTTTCCCCTTTTTCCCCTCATTTCCCCCTTTTCCCCTCATTTTTCCCCTCATTTTTCCCATTTTCCCCCTGATTTTTCCCTTTTCCCCCTCATTTTTTCCCTCATTTTCCCCTTTTTCCCCTCATTTTCCCCCTTTTCCCCTCATTTTTCCCCTCATTTTTCCCCTCATTTTTCCCATTTTCCCCCTGATTTTTCCCTTTTCCCCCTCATTTTTCCCCTCATTTTTCCCCTGATTTTTCCCCTCATTTTTCCCCCTGATTTTTCCCTTTTTCCGCTGATTTTCCCCTTTTTCCCCTCTTTTCCCCCTTCCCCGCCCCCCTATCCCCGCAATTCCCAAACCCCATTTCCCCCTGGAATTCCCCGGGATTTCCGAGCCGAACCCCGGCCCCCCGAACCTCCCAAAATCGCCTTTAATCCCAATTTTTGGGGCTTTTCCCGCCGCCCCTGCTCGGCCCGGGCCCTTCCCGCTCCGTCCCAGCTTTTCCCCATAAATCTCGGGAATTTTAGGGTCCGATCCCGGACGTGCTGCCCGATGTTCAGCACTTCATAAAAATTAAAAGCGAAAAAAAAAAAAATCAAAATAAAACGCAAAGCGGGGGCGGGGGGAGGCCGCGTTTGGCTTCGATTTGGGAATTTTCCCGCGGGCACAAAGGAGGCGAATTCCCGGCTTTTCCTGCCGTTTTTGGGGGATTTTCCCTTGGTTTTCTCTCATTTATCGGCGGGTTTTATTCCCCGCCGGTTTTTATCTTCTTTATCCGTTCCTTTTATTCCGCTGCCTTCCATCCCGAGCCTTTTTTCCCGTTTAATTCCATTTTTCCCCGTTTAATTCCATTTTTCCCCCATTTAATTCCATTTTTTACCCCATTTAATTCCATTTTTTACCCCATTTAATTCCATTTTTCCCCATTTAATTCCATTCTTTTCCCATTTTTCCCGTTTTGTCCCCGTTTTCCCCCATTTTCCCCATTCCCTCCCCCCCAGGCCATTCCCATCCCCTTTTTTCCCAAGCCCGGGAATTTTCCCTTTCCCCTTGAACTTGGCGTTCTCCGAATTCCCGAATTTCCTGCTTCTTTAGGGTTTTTTTCCCCTTTTCCAGCTTTTTTTCGTCCCCTGGGATTAGCTGGGGGTGGGAGCAGGGGAAGGGGGTGACCCCAAACCAGCGGGATCGGGGGAATCTGGGGGATTTTGGGGGATTTTGGGGAATTTTTGGCTTTTTAGGGAAACACGAAGCGTGGGGGGGGGTCTGAAACAGGGCCGCGCTGAGGAAAAAAATCCGGAAAAAAATCACATTTTTCCCACTTTCCCCCGCATTTTTCCCCCCTCCCGCTTCACTCCTGCAGCTGCACCCCCCGAAAATTTGGGGCGGAATGGGGGGAAAATCCAAATATTTGGGGGGAAATCCGCTTATTTTGGGGAAAATCGGGTTGTTTTGGGGAAAACCCAATTCCTCGGGAATGCGGCAGGAAAACGGCGCTGGGGGGAGCACGGGGTGACGTTTTCTTTATTTTTTAGTGGATTTTCGAGAAGGGGCGAGCGCCTGGAAGAGGAAAACCGCCCTCAAAAATCCCTCGGCAGCTCCGAAAAATTAAAAAAACAAATTTTTTTTTTTTTTAAATTTCAAAAAAAATTAAAAATAATTAATGACGATTGTAACTAATTAAAAATAAAGGCGGGGGGGGGGTTTATCCCTTTGTGCGGGGAGATGCTGCCGCACGCCGGGCTGGCCGCGCCGGGCGGCGGCGGCGGCGCGGACGGAGCGGCGTTCGCGGAGCTGGCGGGCGCGGAGCCGGCGCGGCAGTGCCCGTCGGGCTCGCTGGGCTACGGCGGCTACCCCTTCGCGCCCGGCTACTACGGCTGCCGCCTGGCCGGCGTCAACCTGCAGCAGAAGCCCTGCGGCTACCACCCGCCCGACAAGTTCGCCGAGGCCGGCGGGCCGCTGGCCGGCGAGGAGCTGCCGGCGCGGGCCAAGGAGTTCTCGTTCTACCCCGGCTTCCCGGGCTCCTACCAGGCCGTGCCGGGCTACTTGGACGTGTCGGTGGTGCCGGCGCTGCCCGAGCCGCGGCACGAGGCTTTGCTTCCCATGGAAGGCTACCAGCCCTGGGCGCTGGCCAACGGCTGGGACGGGCAGGTTTACTGCTCCAAGGAGCAAGCGCAGCCCGCGCACCTCTGGAAGTCGCCGTTCCAAAACAAAGAGCGGCACCGGGAGCGGCGCCGGGAGCGGCGCCGGGAGCGGGAGCGGCGCCCGCGATCCGCGCGGCCGCGGCCGCAGGGGCTGAGCGCGGGGATCCCTCGGAGCCCAGAAATCCCCTGTGTCCCACCTGTCCCGTATATCCCGGTTTATTCCGTGTATCCCGACGTATTTGTCCCATCTGTCCCATATATTCCGCGTACCCCGTGTATCCCATATATCCCATCCATCCCATATATTTCGTATATCCCGATATATTTATCCCGTCTATCCCATATATCCCGTCTATCCCATATATCCGGATTTATTCCGTGTATCCCGATATATTTATCCCATCTGTCCCATATATTCCATGTACCCCATATATTCCATCTATCCCATCTACCCCATCTATCCCATATATCCCGATATATTTATCCCATCTATCCCATATATCCGCATCTATCCCAAATGCTCCGTTTATCCCATCTATTCCATCTACCCCATTTATCCCATATATCCCATATATTCCGTGTATCCCATTTATCCAATACATTCCGTATATCCCATCTATCCCATATATTCCGTGTATCCCATCTATCCCATCTATCCCATCTATCCCATATATTCCATATATCCCATCTATCCCATATATCCCGTCTATCCCATTTATCCCATCTATCCCATTTATCCCGTCTATCCCATTTATCCCATCTATCCCACATATTCCGTGTATCCCATTTATGCCATTTATCCCATCAATCCCATCAATCCCATCTATCCCATTTATCCCGTGTATCCTATCTATCCCATATATCCGGATATATTTATCCCACCCATCCCATGTACCCCGATCTTTCCCAGATATCCAGGTCTATCCCATCTCTCCGGATGTATTCCAGACATCCCGTCCATCCCATATATCCCGATCTATTTATCCCATCTGTCCCTTATATTCCAAATTATTCCACATACTCCCGATATCCGGATCTATCCCATATATTCAATTTATCCCATACCCCTGTATCCCATCTATTCCACACAGCCGGGTATCCCCCATATCCCAATATATTTATTCCATGTATCCGGGTATCATTTTTTTCCATATATCCAGATATATTCCATACATGATTCCATCTCTTCCATATATCCCATATATGGAATATATATTAATTATTTATTCCATGTAGCCCGGTATATTAATTCCATATATCCGGATGTATTAATTCCATATATTCCCTATATCTGTGTGTGTTTATTCCATATATCCGGATATATTAATTCCATATATCTGGGTGTGTTTATTCCATATATCCGGATATATTAATTCCATATATCTGGGTGTGTTTATTCCATATATCCGGATATATTAATTCCATATATCTGGGTGTGTTTATTCCATATATCCGGATGTATTAATTCCATATATTCCATATATCTGGGTGTATTAATTCCATATATTCCCTATATCTGGGTGTGTTTATTCCATATATCCGGATATATTAATTCCATATATCTGGGTGTATTTATTCCGTATATCCGGATGCATTAATTCCATATATTCCCTATATCTGGGTGTGTTTATTCCGTATATCCGGATGCATTAATTCCATATATTCCATATATCTGGGTGTGTTTATTCCGTATATCAGGGCACATTTCTCCCACATATCCGGGTGCATTTTTCCCGTATATCCGGGTGCATTGACTCCCTGTACCCCCGGTATCCGGCTGTATTCCGCATTTCCCATTAATTCCGCCCGTTCCGTGTATTCCATGTGCCCGCGCCGCTCCGGGCTGGGTAATTAGAGGGAAGCGGCTCAGGAATGCTCGGAGCGGGCAATGTGCACGGGCACGCTCGGCGGGGCGAGGCCAGCGCGGCCCCAAACCCGCGCTAATTCCCTGATCCTGCCCTTGCTCGGGAGCCAATCCCGGCCCCGAACCCGGAGTTAATTCCATAATTCTGCCCTTCCTTCGGAGCCAATCCCGGCCCCAAAACCCGGAGTTAATCCCTGAAATCTTCCTTTTCTCCTGGCCCCAAACCCGCGCTAATTCCCTGAACCTGCCCTTCCTTGGGAGCCAATCCTGGTCCCCAAACCGGGAGTTAATTCCATAATTCTGCCCTTTTTCTCGAGCCAATCCTGGTCCCCAAACCGGGAGTTAATTCCATAATTCTGCCCTTCCCTCGGAGCCAATCCCGGCCCCAAAACCCGGAGTTAATTTCCTGAACCTGCCCTTCCTTGGGAGCCAATCCCGGCCCCAAAAACCCGGAGTTAATTTCCTGAACCTGCCCTTCCTTCGGAGCAATCCTGGTCCCCAAACCCGGAGTTAATTCCATAATTCTGCCCTTCCTTGGGAGCCAATCCTGGCCCCAAAACCCGGAGTTAATTCCATAATTCTGCCCTTCCTTGGGAGCCAATCCTGGCCCCAAAACCCGGAGTTAATTCCATAATTTTGCCCTTCCTTCGGAGCCAATCCCGGCCCCAAAACCCGGAGTTAATCCCTGAAATCTTCCTTTTCTCCTGGCCCCAAACCCCGCGCTAATTCCCTGATTCTGCTCTTTTTCCTGGAGCAATCCAATCTCCAAAATTCCGCGGTAATTCCCGAATTCCGCCCTTTTTCTCGAGCCAATCCCGGCCCAATCCAATCTCCGAAATTCCCCAATTCTGCCCTTTCTCCCGAGCCAATCCAATCTCCAAAATTCCCTATTAATTCCCGAATTCTGCCCTTCCCGCTCCCTCCCCGCCCGCCGCTCCCCCGCGGGAGGAGAGCTCAAAACAAAAAGGAGAAAAAGTGAAAATCCCGCTAAAAACGAAGCCCGGAGCGGCTCGGTGGGCTGGGGGCTGTGCGCTCAATCCGCTCCCAATTAGCGCAATTAACGACAGAGGTGTCAAGTGACAGACGGAGCTGTTTGGGGAGAGCCTGAAAAGGGGAAAGGCCCCAAAATTCCCCTTCTGGAGCAGCTCGGAAACCACAAAATTCCCCTGCGGAAACCCCAAATTATTTGGGGGACCCTGGGTGTGGGAGAGCGAGGGGGGGGGCGTTATCCTGGGCTGGGGGTGGCACAATCCTTTATTTCCCCTTTTATCGGCACACAAAAAAAAACCCCAAATCGGGGTTTTTGCGGGATTTTGGGGGCGGCACGAAGGGAATCCGGCCGCGCGGCGCCGGCTGCGTGCGGGGTTTTTGTGTTTTGGGGGACCCCGCTCCGCTTTGTGACCCCCAAAAAGGAGCCGCTGCCCCCCAAAACCTCCCCAATTAACGCCTGGGCCGTAATTAGGGCGGCGCTCCGAGCAGCGCTCGCCTCCATCTTCCTGCCCCTTTTTGGGGCGCCGGATTTGGGGGCTCTGCTCGCCCCAAATCCCTGCCAGGGCTCCCAAAATTCCGCGGGGAGCTTCGCCCCCCTCCCGGCAGCGCCAGAACGGGCTGGGGGTGTCCCCAAATGTCCCCAAATCCCCCCGGTCCCGGAGCCTTTCCCCTTCCCCAGCGCCCCCAAAAAGCCGCTGGAGAGGGGGAAATTTGGGTTCTTTTGGCCCCTCCGAGGGGATTTTTGGGGTTCGGGGGCTCCCGTGTCCGCTCCGGGCGGGGTTTTGGGGCTGCTCAGGGCAGATTTTCCTCTGCGGGAAAAGGAAAAAGGGGGTGGGAGGAGAAAGAGGAAGGAGGGAAAAGGGAAAACCGCGAATATCGCCCAAAAACCCCGAATATCGCCCAAAAAACCCCGAATATCGCCCAAACACCCCGAAAATCGCCCAAAAAACTCCGAATATGGCCCAAAAAAAGCGGGGTTTGAGGCGCCTGCGGTGCCCGCGTGCTCGGCTCCGCGGGCGGGCGCTGCTCCTTCATCGGCGGCCAAGGCAAACAGGGAATTTTCCCGGCGTGTTTTGGTTCCGTTCCCCGCAGCTCCCCAGCCGTTATCGCTCCTCCGGCCGCCTGGTCCTGCTCTTTCCGCCCCCTTTTCTTCCCCTTCTCCCCCCTTTTCCCAGTTCCCCCCCATTTTCCCCCATTTTCCCTCCTTCTCCCCTTTTCCCTCGCTCTTTCCCCCTCATTTCCATGATTTTTTTCCCATTTTTGTCCCCCCTTTTCCCGCTCCTTTCCCCCTTTTCCCCCATTTTCCCTCCTCCTTCTCCCCTCTTCCCTCCCTCTTTCCCCCTCAATTCCATGATTTTTTTTCCATTTTTGTCCCCCCTTTTCCCGCTCCTCTCCCCATTTTCCCCCTTTTCCCCCCATTTTCCCTCCTTCTTTCCCTCTTCCCTCGCTCTTTCCCCCTCATTTCCATTATTTTTTTCCATTTTTGTCCCTTCTTTTCCCGCTCCTTTTCCCCCCATTTTCCCCCTTTTCCCCCCATTTTCCCTCCCCCATTTTCCCTCCTCCTTCTCCCCTCTTCCCTCCCTCTTTCCCCTCATTTCCATGATTTTTTCCCCTTTTTGTCCCTTCTTTTCCCGCTCCTTTCCCCCTTTTTCCCCTTGCCCACCACCATTTTACCCCCGTTCTTCCTCTCCCTCCCCAGAACCCTCCCCCGGCCCCACCGACCGCAATTCCCCTTTTCCCTCATTTCTTTTCCCCACATCCCGATTTTTTACCCATTTCCACTTCGCTTTTAACCCCTTTGTCCCCATAATTCCCGGTTTTGCCCATTTCCCCCCGTTCTAACCCCATTTTTACCCATTTCCACTTCACCCCGCTTTGCCTTTAACCCTTTTATCACCGTTTTTACCCCAACCCCCAATTCCAACCCAATTTTTACGCATTTCCCCCCGTTCTAACTCCTTTTTTACCAATTTCTCCCAATTCTAACCCAATTTTCACCAATTTCCCCCATTCCAATCCCATTTTCACCCATTTCCCCTCATCCCAACCCCTTTATTGGCTCATTTTCACCTCACCCCTCTTCACTCTTAACCCCTTTATGCCCATAATTCCCATTTTTACCCATTTCCCCCATTCTACTCCCGTTTTTACCCAATTTCTCCATTTCTAACCCCATTTCCTACTGCAGACGTGGTCCCTCTGCAGACCGAGCCCAGCCCGTTCCGGCGGGGCCCCAAAAAGTGCGTTTCCTACCCCAAACCCTTTATTAACCCCATAATTCCTATTCTAACCCCATTTCCCCCCCCCACTTTACCCCATTTTTACCCATTTTCCCCCATTTTTTCCTATTTTTTCCCATTTTCACGAATTTTTCCCCCCCCCAGACGTGGTCCCTCTGCAGGCCGAGCCCAGCCCGTTCCGGCGCGGCCGCAAGAAGCGCGTTCCCTACAGTGAACCCTTTACCCCCTTTATTAACCCCACAATTCCCATTTTTACCCTTTCTAACCCCATTTTTCCCCATTTTTCCCCATTTACCCCCATTTTCACCCATTTTTCCCCGTTCCAGACGTAGTCCCTCTGCAGGCCGAGCCCAGCCCGTTCCGGCGCGGCCGCAAGAAGCGCGTTCCCTACAGTGAACCCTTTACCCCCTTTATTAACCCCACAATTCCCATTTTTACCCTTTCTAACCCCATTTTCCCCCATTTTTCCCCATTTCCCCCCATTTTTACCCATTTTCCCCCATTTTTCCCCATTTTCCCCCATTTTTACCCATTTTTCCCCCCCCAGACGTGGTCCCCCTGCAGGCCGAGCCCAGCCCGTTCCGGCGCGGCCGCAAGAAGCGCGTTCCCTACACGAAGCCGCAGCTGAAGGAGCTGGAGCGCGAGTTCGCCGCCAGCCGCTTCATCACCAAGGAGAAGCGGCGGCGCATCGCGGGCGCCACCAGCCTGAGCGAGCGCCAGGTCACCATCTGGTTCCAGAACCGCCGCGTCAAGGAGAAGAAGGCCGTGGGCAAAGCCAAGCCCGCGCACCTGCGCGACACCTGAGCGCGCGCCGCCCGCCCGCAGCGCGGCGGCGTCGCCGGCTGCCACGTGCCGCGTGCGGCGGCGCCATGCTGGGACTCGGAGGCGGTCGGAAGGGCCGGGAAGTGGGAAGAAAAGGGTTGGAATTCAATGTTTGTCAGCGTGCTGGCGGGACTTGGAGGTGGCCAAAATCCCCAAAAAAACAAAAAAAAAAATCAAAGACAGAAGGGAAAAAATTCAATATTTATCGTCGTGCTGGCGGGACTTGGAGGTGGCCAAAATCCCCTGAAAAAGGAAAAAAAGAAGTGTTAAAAATTCAATATTTGTCATCGTGTTCGTTGGACTTTGCGGTGGCCAAAATCTCCCGGGAAAAGGAAAAAAAGAAGCGTTAAAAATTCAGTGTTTATCGTCGTGGTGGTTGGACTTTGCGGTGGCCAAAATCCCCTGTAAAACAAAAAAAATATCAAAGACAGAAGGGAAAAAAATTCAATATTTATCGTCGTGCTGGCGGGACTTGGAGGTGGCCAAAATCCCCTGAAAAAGGAAAAAAAGAAGTGTTAAAAATTCAATATTTGTCATCGTGTTCGTTGGACTTTGCGGTGGCCAAAATCCCCAAAAAACAAAAAAAAAAAATCAAAGACTGAAAGGAAAAAAATTCAGTATTTATCATCGTGGTGGTTGGACTTTGGGGTGGAGAAAATCGCCAAAAATAAAAAGAAAAATCAAAGACGGAAGAGAAAAAAATTCCATATTTATCCTCGTGCTGGTTGGAGTTTGGGGTGGAGAAAATCCCAGAAAAAGGAAAAAAAAAGGTGTAAAAATTCAGTATTTAACCTCGTGCCGGCGGGACTTTGGGGCCGAGAAAACCCCGAAAAAAAGGGAAAAAACCGTGTAAAAAAATCAATATTTATCCTGGCGCCGGCGGGACTTTGGGGCCGAGAAAACCCCGAAAAAAGCCAAAAAGCCGAAGGCAGAAGAGCCAAAAATGGGTATTTGTGTTTATCCCGCAGAAAAATCCCAAAAAAAGGAAAATTCCCACCCGCAGCTCCCAAATCCCAGCGCGGGGTTTTGGGGGAAAATGGGGATTTTGGGCTGAGAGGTGGAAATTCCCGATTTTCCTTTTTTTTTTTTTTTTCTCGTGATCCCGGTGGGAAAAAAAAAAAAATTGTGGAAAAATAACAAAACAACAAAAATCTCCCAAAAAATCCCAAAAATTCCCCCCCGGGCGGCGGCGGCTCCCGGATTTTTTTAAGGATGGAAAAATCGGGAATGGGGAAAAAATTCCCAGAGGGGTTTGGGGTCGGGAGTGGGGGAATTTTGGGGATTTTTTGGGGATTTTTGGGAATGCTTTCCCTCGAGTTTGGCTGAGGGAAATCGGGATTTCCGGCCGGATTTTTGGGTTATTTTTGGGGTTTTTTGGGAATTCTCTCCCGGGGGTTTGGCTGAGGAAAATCGGGATTTCCGGCCGGATTTTTGGGGTTTTTTTTGGGAATTCTCTCCCGTGGGTTTGGCTGAGGAAAATCGGGATTTCCGGCCGGATTTTTGGGGTTTTTTTTTGGGATTTTTTGGGAATTCTCTCCCGGGTTTTGGCTGAGGAAAATCGGGATTTCCGGCCGGATTTTTGGGGTTTTCTCGCGGCGCTCCTGGGGGTCCCCGAGCGGTTTTTGGGGTTTTTGATCCGGATTTGTTGGATTTCGGGGTCGTGCTCGTGCTGTCCGCCTTGTACCGTTCCTTGGAAATAAATCGCTTTTTTTCCGTCGTTGTTTTGCCTGGAGGACAAAAAAAAAAAAAAAAAAAAACCAAAAAAAAAACCCAAAAAAATTCTCTTTGTGCAGATTTTTCAGCTCCCGGTGGGAATCCCAGGGGAAATGAGAAAAAAATGGGGAAAATGGGAAAAAATCGGGAAAAAATCCAGAAAATTGGGGGAAAAAAAGGGAAAATGGAAGGATGGGAAGGGCTATTGCACTGAATTTTGATTTATTTCACTTTTATTCCAGGGGTTTGATTAATTTTGAGTTAATATTTTTTTTTGTTCGTTTGTTCTATTTTTATTGCATTTTTTTAATTGGATCTCTTTCTAGGTAAGATCTTTCCGTGGAATTTAATTTAATTGACCCATTTGAATTCAATATATTTGTATTTGACCGAATTTTCCTTTCATAGGTTTTGATTTCATGATCTTTAATGTGTTTTTATTTCATGTTTTTTGTTGAAGGTGTTTTTATTTCACTGCGTTCTTACTCAATTGAAATTTTATTGGATTTTTTTCCCCTCTCTCTCTTTATTTCCCCCTCCTTAAACCCGCCCGAGGGGAAGGAAAAAGAGGCCAAAAATGGCTCTAAAATCCCGATTTTTTGGGCTTTAATTTGCCGAGAACGCGGCAAAAATAGAGGAGAGAATCGGGATGGAAAGGGGAAAAAATGGGAATTTTAGAGGCTGCAGAAACGCTCGTGAGGGTGGCAAAATATTCAATTTACTGTAGATTTAATACCTACTTCATGCAGGTTTGATTTCTATTTAATATTTATTTCTATATTCCTTCCAGGCGCGAGGACCTCACCCGAATATTGCAATTTTTTAGGATTTCAGGGCGGATTTTCCCATTTTTCCCGGATTTTGCGGCTCTCAATATTCAGATTTGGGGCGTGGGAGGGCCGGGGTTTCAAAAATTCGGGGTTTGGGGTTTTTATTTTGGGTTTTTTCCCCTAAAATTCGGCCCGAAATAGAAATTTCCATCAGCGTTTGATAGAAACTTCCAGAAATATTTGGGATAAATTTATTGGAAAGGGAGAGAAATTGATGGATTTATAGAAATAGACGATTAAGAAAATGGAATTTTCCTGGGATTTGGCGATACAGGGAGGAGAAATCTGCAATAATTCCGTGTTTTAAAAGGAGGAAAATCCCATTTAGGGCGCCTGGAATGTGGGAGGGAGGAATCCGCACCCGAAATCCCAAAAAGAACCCCAAAATAAACCCCAAAATCCCAAAATAAACCCGAAAATCCCAAAATGAACCCCAAAACGAACCCCAAAAATCCCAAACAAACACTAAAATCAACCCAGAAATTCCAAATAAACCCCCGAATAAATCCAAAATCCCCAAATAAACCCAAAATCCCAGAATGAACCCCAAAACTCCCAAATGAACCCCAAAAATCCCAAAATGAACCCGAAATCCCAAAATGAACCCCAAAACGAACCCCAAAAATCCAAAATCCACACTAAAATCAACCCAGAAATTCCAAATAAACCCCGAATAAATCCAAAATCCCAAAACAAACCCCCGTGATCCTAAAAGAAATCCTAAAATAAACCAGGAATCCCCGAATAATCCCAAAAAACCCCAAGAATTCCAAAACTAACCCAAAATCCCCCAAAAAAGACTTTTGGCGTTCTGGGTTTCTCCTCCCAATTTTTCGGGATGGGAGCGGGAATTCTTGGGGGAAAAATTCCCAAATTCACCCCAAATTCACCCCAAATCCTGGCCGGGAAATTTGGGATTGGGGCTGGAAAAAGGCTCCGATCCCAAAAAAAAAATGGGAATTTCCAACAGCAGCTCCGGGAACGCCCAAATCCCAAATTCTGGGAGGAATTTCCTCGCTTTGGGGACAGAAATCTCGAGAAATTAATTAAATTAATTAAGATTTTAGTATTAATTACCGTAAAATCAATGAAAAATGGGAGGAAAGCGATTCCCGGGAAGGGATTTGGGGGAAAATTCCCGATTTTCCTCTTGGGGCGGGAAACGGAGCTCGGGTGTGGCACAGAAAATTGGGGATTTTGGGGCATTTGGGGCATTTTTGGGTCCATTTTTGGCATTTTCGGGTCAATTTTTGGACAATTCTGGTTTGAATTTTTGTCACTCCTGGATTCTTTTTTTTGGTCACTTTTGGGTTAAATTTTGTCACTTTTCTCTTCAGTTTTGGGTTCGTTTTTGGTCATTTCAGATTTAATTTTCGGTCACTTTTGGGTTCACTTCTCATCAATTCTGATTTAATTTTTCGGTCGCTTTTGGGTTCATTTTTTATCAGTTCTGGTTTGAGTTTTTGGTCAGTTTTGGGTTCATTTTTGGTCATTTCTGATTTAATTTCCGGTCACTTTTGGGTTCATTTTTATCAGTTCTGGTTTGAGTTTTTGGTCAGTTTTGGGTTCATTTTTGGGTTCATTTTTGTCACTTCTGGCTCCATTTTTGGCCATTTCGGGCTCATTTTTTGGTCATTTTTGGGTTGATTTTTCCTCCTGCTCCTCCTTTTCTTTCTCCTGGAAATTCTTTCATTCTCGAGACTCCAAAAATCGGGGAAAAAAAACCTAAAAATGAGCAAAGCCGAGAAATCCCTTCGTTTTTTCCTCCTCAGGTTGGGATTTTGGGGGATTTTGGTGGAAAATTGGGGAAAACCTGCGGAATTTTGGGCGGATTCCCCAAAATGTTTGAATTTTCCCCCCTCAGTGCTCCGGGAGCTGCAGAAATTTTGGATTTTCCCGGAATTCGGAGCCAGATCCACCCGGAATTTTGGGATTCAGCTTTCCCAGAGCCCAAAATCCCAGAAAAAAAAGGGGAAAATTCGAATTTTTGGCCCAAATCTTGGAAATTTCCGGCTCCAACCCCGAGGAGGGAATTACCCCGAGCAGGATTTTAATTGATTTTGAGTTTCTTAATTGATCTTTTCAATTTCTAATTTGGATTTCTGGAAGGATTTTGGGGGTAAAAATCCGGAGCCGGGCTGAGCCGAGGGATGGAAAAAAAATGAAATTCGGGAGGGGAAAAAAAGGGAAAAAAGGGATTTTTCAGGGTCGGGAGAGTGCCGGGAGGGGAGAGGGGAAAAGGAATGAAAATTATTTGAAATTAATTGGAATGAATGGAAATGAATTAAAATGGATCGGGGTGAATTGAAATTGAATTTAAATGAATTGGAATGAAAGGAAATTAATTGAAATGAATAGAAATTAATTAAAAACGGGAAGAAAATGCGAATTTAACGGGAATTTTGGCTCCGACGCCGTTTGGGATTTGATTCCAAACTGGGTAAATTCGGGTAAATTCGAGTAA